CATTACAAGATTTGATTAAGTTGTAATCATTTAGTAATTGTTGCTAAGTTGGTAAGTATTCAATATTTAACCATCTCGTTTTGTCAATTACAAATGTAAGATATGTCATTAATCTAAATCTACGTCTGGTGAGTATATATTACACATATACAGACAAGATAATGGTTTAGATTGCGTGTTAGTATGTCAGCATTGATCATCTATATAATTCAAACAACCATAGTTCAGGTTTTAAATTAAATAAAATCCGACAGCTTGGCCGCCTCTGGGTGAAAAGTCACTTGCACATGCAGATGATGTGAAACCATAAAGGCTGACATGGAGACTTTGGCCCCAGTCTAGCATGCTAGCCTCTGCTCTGATGGCCTTGGCCTTGCTTTAATGGGCGGGCCGGTGTCTCCCCTCGGGCAGACCAATAAAACCAGGGAGGCACTGTGTGTGTGTTGCATAACTGGACTGCAGTCAGTACAGGTTCACTCCACACACTCAGCGGTTTACCTCTTCACAATGGCAGCTCCGAAGAAAGTCTGCATCGTGGGCTCTGGAAACTGGCAAGTCGAAGTGTTGATGTTTTGAACCGTGTCCGGTTGTCTCATATGTGCGGTTATCCGCTGGACACGGTGCACAGTAACGTGCGGGAAGTTTGACCTGCTGTACCTGTAACTACCAGATAGGCTTCGTTAGCGGAGGCGACAGTTGGGTTTACCTCCGCGTGGAGTCACATGCTGACAAGCCGGCTTATAATCGCAGAAAACTGGCCACAAGTCTGGCAACATTACTGGGATTTTTGTCGTTAGCTTTAAGGTGTCTGCCGCCTGTTAGCTCGCTCTTATTAGCGGTAGCAGAGACATCAGTAGCTGATGTCTCTGCTCCGTTTACCGGTCTAATAAATTAACGTTACCTCCCCAAAGAGATAAAAGATGATTTGACACGAAAAATAGATTTTTAAAAAATCCTGTAAATTCGGTGTGTGGGTTCAGTTTATGAGCCGAATAAAAAATATTAAATTTTTACATTCTTTTCATACACACACTGTGGTTTTTGTAGTTGTAGCTCTTATTTTGGAACGAAATTAAATGTATGTCTATTTCTTTTTATTTCCGAATTCATGATTACCCCCCAAATAATTAAAATCATTCCATAAAGTGGTTATAAAGCCATTGTAATTTTGCTGCTGCTTATGCTAAATTAAAATTGCAAGAATTCTCAATGGAGTTCGGTGTACACCCGTGGAAACCGTATGGAGGATTGGTGATTGCAGCATACCGTTATCAGCTTATCTCTGCGTGCAGCTTTGCCGTCTTGCCCTGAAATATTAGTTAAGGATCAAATAGGAATCATTACCTTTAATGATCACCCCATTAGATCACAGTGTGACTGAGTGAGAATATGGATTTTCCCCGTAAAATGAACACTGACTTGTAACTGTTAACCACGCAGGGGCTCAGCCATTGCCAAGATCGTGGGTGCCAATGCTGATAAAAATGCAAAGTTCGACAATACTGTAAAAATGTGGGTGTTTGAGGAGACTGTGAATGGGCGCAAACTCACTGAACTAATCAACTCCGAGCACGAAAACGTCAAGTACCTTCCTGGACACAAGCTGCCAGCAAATGTGGTAAGAAAAATTTATTTTTAAAAAAACATTTTAGTGCCTGTTGTCTCATATATGTAAATAAGGTCCTTGAATAGATGCTTTGCAGCTGTTAGTTTTATAATAAGTTTAACAGCTGTAAGAGTGAGTGAGTTTTTTTGAATGCAGCAGGTTCCTACTCTACAGTAAGTTGCCTCGGGCTTTAAAGACATGTCATCATCCCTTCTCAGCTGGCAGTGCCGGACTTGGTGGAGGCGTCCAGCGATGCAGACATTTTGGTGTTTGTGATCCCGCACCAGTTTGTGGGGAAAGTATGTGACACCATAAAAGGGAAGATAAAGAACGATGCACTGGGAATATCACTCATCAAGGTTGTTTTTTTTTTATTACTAGACATGGATTTTACACCTTTTATCTCCAAAATATTGCCAAGTTTATTCAGTGGTGTTTGATCCAGACACCAGCATGTTGTGCTTTTGTTCCCTCAGGGCGTAGACGAGGGTCCAGATGGACTCAAACTCATCTCTGACGTGATCCAGGAGAAGCTCGGTATCACCATGAGCGTGCTGATGGGTGCAAACATCGCCAATGAAGTTGCTGATGAGAAGTTTTGTGAGACAACCATTGGTTAGTTTTGTCCCTTTGTTGCGCTCAAATGGGCCCATTGTTGTTGAATTATTTTTGCACTTTAATTAAGAATTAAAGATCCAGATAAGCAGCTTTTAGCCTAAAAACGGGAAGCACATTTGTTTCGGTTAAAGCTTTGTGCGACCTCAGCGTTAGTTCTTTGGTTCAACGCGTGCTTCCATCATGTTTTTTTTACAGGGTTTACAGTCAGCATATTTCTTCTGGTTTACAGGCTGTAAGAATAAAAATCACGGTGCTCTCCTGAAGGAGCTCATGCAGACCAGCAACTTTCGAGTTACTGTAGTGGAGGAATACGATGTGGTGGAAATCTGCGGAGCCCTGAAGGTGAGCTCTCAGTGCAGAATATGTCTGCTTGCAACACAATTACAAAACATGGACAGTCAGCTTGATTTCAACACAGGTTTATTTATGGTATCAAGGACCAATGACTATTTTTGCACTCTCAGCAAAAGTCACACAAAACAGAGTAGAGGCATTTTATCCCTTGTCCCAGTTTTTTTTTTTTTTTTTTTTCCCCCACAGAGTTCCTGTTTCACATGCGTGAGATTATAAAGTGAAGTGACACAGTACTTGTGAGTCACATAAGAAGCACGTGCCTCATAAAGACATGCTGATCTATGGGCACGTCAGTACTGAAACTGAAAGCTGATGATCCCACAGAACAGATAACAACAGATTCAAAAGATTTAGGTTAAAAATTAAACATCAACATTTATTTTTGTTGAAACCAAAGAATGTCTTCTCTTCCTGCAGAGTTTGTGTGTTTGGATGTGTCACCATTGCAGACTCTCTCTCTCAGCATTATTAACATTTACCACACTGCCACACACAAACATGCTGTTTGCCCCACATTTAGTGTGCTGGGATCTAGTCACTCTGTTAATTAGGCAGTGAGGATCAGAGATCTCTGTAGATGTACGCAGTGAGACTTTAAACACTTCAAGTAAAGCTGCCCAAACAAAATGTCTAAGGACCCATTGTGAGCATTGTGAAAGGGTTGGCTCTAACGAGACATTAATCTAAATAGTTGTTGAAAAGTCTGGAAGGATTTTTTTCTTAATGTGAACTCAAATATTTTGTTTTCGAAGAAATTTTACACACGTTATTGTAGGATGTGGATTCCCATGTTTTTAGAGAATTAGTTTGTTGGTGGTTGTGTTCTTTTTCTCTGCTTAATTTTCCTTTAATTAAAGAATAAATAAGAATATCATAGGAGAGGATAATGCCCAAACATTCTCTCATTGCAACTTCTCAGATATGAGGCTTTGGAGCCTTTTTCTAGTCTGTTTTGTATAGAGTCAAATAAAAAAAAGTCATTATAATATATCCGATTATTTTTGTGTGTGTCCTACAGAACATTGTTGCAGTCGGAGCTGGTTTCTGTGACGGTCTGGGCTTCGGGGACAACACGAAGGCGGCAGTGATCAGGCTGGGCCTGATGGAGATGATTGCCTTCGCCCGTATTTTCTGCAAAGAAGGGCCCGTGTCCTCAGCAACCTTCCTTGAAAGCTGCGGCGTGGCCGACCTCATCACAACCTGCTACGGTGGACGTAACCGCAAAGTTGCTGAAGCTTTTGTGAGAACGGGGAAGGTACAAATTTTAAAGATATTTTATATATATGTTCAATTACTGTATATATGTCATAGGCTCAGGCAGAAGCAATGCTTGTATATTCCTGGCATATATTCTTCTCATTAAAGGCAGGAATACAAGAGGCAGTGAGGGGAGAGAGGAAAGTGTAGGGATCTGAGGTAGTTTGTGCCAAACTGTGACAGTTTTGGCAGCTGATTCTGGATCGAGTTGAGTTGTGGTGACGTGGTCCCAGGATTGGTCTAATAACAAAAACATCTCAAGTATCAAATTTGACTCAGAATTAAAATGTTAAATAATAAATTAAATCATTTAATATAATGTGAAGTTTTGCTGAAGGTTTATTGGTGATTATTATTATGGTAGTTACTGGAAATGTCAAAACTTGGGCACACTGATGAGTTCATGCCTTTTAATGTTTTTACTTGACATAGTGAAGTTATTAATACAAGAGAACTTGTATGTATAGTATATTAAAACGTAATTATGTTGCACCTAATGCTGACTACACTAAAGATGGATCTCACCTCTTGGTCTGATGCTCCTGTGCAAGGAGTATAAAACTGCATTATTTCTAATGACCAGCAGAGGGCAGCAGCTGTGGTTACAAAGACTGTAGAGGTTGACACATACATAGTTTTCTTTTTTAGAACTGTGAGCGAGTTCATCGGCAAAATTTTAAAAAAAACCCATTCTGGTCATTTTCTCTCCAATATTAATTATATCAACACCATGACACAATTAGAATGAGCACATTTTCTCAAATAATAAATTCAAATGTGATTTTGTGTTAGTGCTGTTGTGCTGTTCTGACTCTTTCTTCCCACAAATCTGGTCTCTGATGCAGTATAGTGACCATCAGCTGTACTTCTCATAATGTATTGAGAGATACTTTGTGTGCACTATATATTGTCTACTAATACTCACTAAAGATTCAGAAACTGGTTTTAAAAAACCCCAGCAAACTCTGACTGAATTCTACAGTCACGCCAAAGACGACAGAGCCAGAAAGTGGTCAGAGGATTATTGTAAATGGGTGCAATGAACTTGCAATGTCATTGCCTTTGAAATGGCTTCTTTGAAGATGGGGACCAGGTCAGCGACGTCGTCTACAAAGTGGCACTGGTGTATTGAACCATTAATAAAATGACATTAACACAGAGCCACTGACGTAGCTGCTGCACAACAACAAGTTAGCTGAAAAATGACAAAGGTGCTTTGAAACCAGAGAACAACCAGTTGAGTCAAATCCCTTATTTTAAAGAGACGCATCGCAGACAAGTTCTGCTCTTCATTAATGGCAACAGACTCCATTGATTGCATCATGTTGGAAGTGTCCCTGCGTTTATAATTAAACTGTAATTATTTCCGAGCTTTTGCCAATCTGAGCATCAGACGTGTACACCTTCTCTCATTTTAAACTCAAGAATCTTCAGCATGTCTTGGTTCTTATCTCATTCAGTCCATTGAGGAACTGGAGAAAGAGATGCTGAATGGCCAGAAGCTGCAGGGACCAGCGACAGCAGCTGAGGTCTATCTCATCCTCAAGCACAAAAACATGGTCGACAAGTAAGACAGACTCACAGGTTCCATTTGCTTTGAAATGAAATCAGTTTGTTTCACTCCAGCACTCAACTATGCCTCCTCCTTCCTTTAGGTTTCCTCTGTTCAACGCAGTCTATCAGATCTGCTTCGAGGGCCACCCAGTCACAGAGTTCATAAGCTGTCTGCAGAACCACCCAGAACACATGTAAAGAGAACGAAAAACCCCAAAACAAACAAAACTAAAGGTGCCTTCTTAACGGAGAACACGACCCCTTTCGCAGCCGTTCAGAAATCGATGGAGTAGGCTGCACCGGACACACCACAGCTGTCGTGCAAGGAAATGGTGCCAGCAAAGTGTGGCTCTTCAACTCCAATTCAGCAAATTCTGAAACCAAAACACTGAATTTCCAACGTGTTAAAAGTACTTTTATTTCCTGACGTGTACTGAAACTTGAAGGATAACCAATTCATGTAATTGTCCACTACTTTTTGCTTAAGATGCATGCTTTTTATGTTTTAAAAGTAATTAAATCTGTCAGTTTTTAAATCACAACACTAATACAGAAATTAACATTCACGACTTCAGAAAATGCAGGGCCATTGCCTGCCTTCTGGAGTGGGATTAATCTTTAATGTTTCCGTCCAGTAAACACCTTTCCATCGCCACAAGTTATTTAATAATAGATGTATTACCTCATCTCATCACGTCTCTGTATGCTTTAAGTGTCTTACATCATTCATTGACATCTGCTGCCTTGTACTGTAAGTGAAAAATACTGTCAATCGCACAAAAACTGTTTTTAAATAGAAAAAGCTAATGTGCCTTAAAATGCATGGTTCAAGTCTTTAGCTTTTGTTTGTGGTCTGACCAAAAAAGTCAAAGGATAATTACGGTTTATTTCAGATTGGCTTAAATTTCATTATGTCTGTATGGGTCGTGCTAACAAGATGGCTCCTTGAAGATGTATTATTGCATGAAGCTGCAGATCTCTACTGCAGTTAGTAAGCAGGTGTTGGACATAACTAGGCTGTCGTTGCCTTAGCTGTCTCAACAAATCCTAAAATCCTCCATCAAAGATAATGGGCCTCACATCAGGCATAATCTGCTTTTATAATCAGACGTTTTTCATCAGGCGCTGCGTGTATGCCCCCATAAAAATTGGGAATTTAACATGTCAGCTCACTCTTCTCCACATAAAAATGGAGCAACGGAGTACTGCCTACTTAAGCCAAGAAGAACAGATCATTGAGATCATGGTTTAAAAATTAAAACAAAATAATAATAATACACGCTGCAAAAAGGTGTGAAAGAAGTGCTGGCAGAAAGCACTTAAAGAGTGCTTAATTGTGAACTTCATGCATTTAAATGTGTTTCCTCTGCACTATGGAAGCTGGGATGGGCTCCAGCCCCACTCCAATGAGGAGAAGGGGTTAAGAAAAATGCCATTTAGTGAAGCGCGTCAAGGTTTAACACCATCCTATAAATCATCAGACGTGGAATTAACGTGTGATAATTGCAAACTATGATCAATTTTTTTGTATTTAGATATATAGCTGGACTTCCAACAATGTCAATAAGGACCAAGTATAAATTAATTTATATTATTAGCTGAATACATATAAAATCCAGTGCTGTAGCTATATGAGGTTATTCATTGGTATAATATACCACAATGGCCACATCAATGAGGAAACATGCCAGGCTGAAATGAATCTGAATTAAGTCTTTAAACATCCGTCCGCTACGTCATTTGTAGCTGTGATCCTGCCTGACCCAGTTTTCACTCAGTTACTAATACATTTGAAATCATCAACATTTGTCTGTGAATAAATTCATTCTAGTATCAAATCATGGCTGGACTAATTTTTTTCCATTTTCATTAGAAAGGAAACAATGAAATTGGAAATTGCAGTAGAAATTACAGCATTTCTTGTTATTCAATAAAAGGGTTGATAAGAAAAGATTCTTATATCTGGAGGAAGATTTTTTTTTTTCAATAAATATTAACGTTAGCCGCGACTTTGTTCCAGTTTTGATTTTTGGCCCACTGTGTATTTGAGTTTGACACCCCTGGTTTAAAGCAATGTCAGTATGATATGTTATAGCGCTTCCAGCAAGCCTCCTCTCCCCTCTCCACATGCATTTTAGCAATTCTGATTTCTGTCAAAGGCAGGATAGATGAGAAGGCAAAACAACACGATAACAAGCAAAACTAGTTTATTACAACTTGTGGAAATGTCGCTAGCTTTACATGAGTGTGCGGTATACAATGCATAAAAACAGACATTCACTGCTGACCTGTGGTACACACCACTGTCGTCTGGATTTTGAAATATGGAATCAATGTCAGCAACTTAAATAAATCTGGAAAATGTAAACAAAAAGGGAATGAAGCTCAAAGTGCAGAAACTAAAAAGGAGCCTGCTTTGCTCGTCCGTGAAGACAGTTAAGACTCGCAGTATAAACGCTTTGAAGAAAATCGCCTCGTGGAAACTAATCTGTTTATTTTTAAAACCACCATGATGTCCTTGGTCCCACACAGAGGAGGCGAAAAACAGCAGCAAAAGTAGAAATGCAAACAATGCAATCAAAAGCAGAATGGCATTAAAATTGTGGTGATTTAAGAGCGACAGCTAGCGGACATTTGTTCCTATTCTTCATTTTCTGTGTCCGTTGGTTGACACTATGTGGACAACACTTAGCTTGCAGCGTTTTGTTCTTGTGGTTTGGATATCTGATCTAATCACTGAAGACAGGAATAAGGAGTTCCACTTAGCAGAATAATTTGTTCCCAAAAATCCTTGATCGTTCTGTTTTTTCACAGACTTGATCCCATCTCTAATTAAAGCTGAAAACTGCTGTGAATGTATGAAAACTACCACCGTAACTGTGGTACAAGCCCATGAAAACACAATCAACTCACAAATGTCTAGTGAAAGTTTGACCAGGCCTTATGGAATAACTGCAATACCTGAGATTTTCTGTCTTTGCGGCATGATAGATCCACATCGTGGAAAAGCCTTGTTTCTCAAAGATGATCCTGTACTGGAAAATATCTAACCACTCGCCCTACTGCACCCCTCCTACCATCCTACCTCCACTCATCCCTCATATCATCGCAATTCAAAGTCTGTGAGGGTTCACCCATTTGTAAGTGCCTTCGTAACGAAATCCAACTTTCTGCACGAGGTCATCTGCTTCTTGAGGGCCACGGCTAAAAAGAAGGAAGGGGGGAAATTATTTTTTTTATTAAAGTAATTACATTAAAAACAAAATTTTTTAAAAACCTGCTGACATGTAAACTTTCTGTGTAATTTCATTAAGCAAGTACAATGTAAAAGCTTACACTTAACGGAATATCTTCATATTAAATACCAAACATGGTTTCCTTAATGATTTACTATTTTAATACTTTGATTTCATATATTTCAGCTGCATTTTACACACAATTATTTCTTCATGTTTGCTGAGGCTAAAGAATCTTTTTTTGAATGTGGTATGATTTTCCTCTTCCAAGTGAGAGCTGAGTAAAACCTTTCCTACCTTCCATAATTGTAAGGAATTGGCTTCGGCTTCTCTTTCTCTATTTGATGAAGGAGAGGAGTGAAGATCCTCCATGCTTCCCTCAGTTCATCACTGCAGACAACAATTCAACATGCAGAAGTAGGTCAAACAGAGGTGCAAGGTTTTCACTACTCAGCACCTGATAGCAAAAAGAGGTCCCTCTGGCTCCATCTAGTGATGGAGATTTTAGATTACAAGCAGTGACTTAAGAGTGGACAAGGAAAAGTACAGACCTGCGTACAAAGTGCATTTGGCTCCCGCAGAAGACATCCAGGATGAGACGCTCATAAGCATCGGGAAGCTTCACGTCCTAAAAGAAAAATACCATATTACAGCTTTGTTAGAAACCTGTTTTGGGTTTTTTTTTGTACTACTACCTCTGAAGCTCTAAAAACGGGGTGAAACTCTTAATCAGTCTTTGAAGTCAGTGTTAAATATGTGCTAGATTCTTCTTTATATTACCTTGTAACACCCCAAAATACTCAAAGTTAGAGCAGGGCGATACGACCAAAAATATTTATCACGATATACATTTGAAAATTTGCGATAACTGACGATATAGTTGACACTAGACAAAATACTTTATAACTCCACAACTTTATTAGTGCGCAAAGAAAACAACAACAAAACAATCGTTGTATTTTCACTTAAACAAGCAGCTGTTTTTTTATGTGCATTAAAGTTATATAAAAAATTAACAGTGCAAATGCAAATTCCTTGCTGACAGTTTAACCAAAAGGCATTGCCAGTGGAAATTGGCCAACATATCCTCAGCATAACCATGTATAATATCCACAAAACTTAAAAAGAGATTATACACACACACGGTAATACTATGTTGAAGCACAGTGCGTATCACTCCGCGAGGCTCCTGCTACGACATTTGACAGATTTCCGAGCGCCGTGTTCCACATAAAATTGTTTCGAGGTCAGTAAACACAACCAGAATTCATACATAAGGCACACGGGATTATAAGGGGCACTGTCGATTTTCAGAAAAATCAAAGGGTTGATTTTAAGTGTGCCGTATTTTCCAAAAAAAACTGTAATAACGACGGCCCACTAGCATGCTCTACCAAAAATAGTGTTTTGTATCTGACGGACAAAAGCTAAACCAGTTCCACACCACTGAAGTTGCAGCATTTTTACAAACCAATTCTGGTTCATCTGATTCATTCAATGATCCATCTTCTCATTCACCGTCACCGCCATGCTTTTTCCGCCATGTGCGTATGAAAACAAAGGCACTGCGCATGCGCGTTTTACCCATATTCTATCGCAATATTTCATTTTCTTATCGTTGCCCAACATTATACCGGTATTACCGCGAACGGTATGATATGGCCCAGCCCTACTCAAAGTTGATCTCAGAGTGTGTGTGGCAATTAAATAAATAAAACTTGAGCCTGCCTTGTATCTGCTCTTGTAGGTGAGATCCAGCTCCGTTTCTTCCGGGCTGAAGTACACGCCAGGTTTCTTGCTCATCATCTTGGCATACACAGCCTCGTTGGGCTGCACGCGTACCACAAGCTCATTCCTGCGACACTGAGTTCCAAAAATGTCTCCGGGGACGTCGGTGAACTGCAGCCGCACCTCGGCCTTTCTCTCATTCAGTGCTTTGCCACAGCGAAGGATGAAAGGAACGCCTGAGGAGAAACATTTTCATGAGCACAGGAGAATGTTTAAAACACCTTATTTTATTTTTTCTTAACAAATAAGCGCCTTTACCATCCCAGCGTTCATTGTGTACGTAGAGCACAGTGGTGGCAAATGTGGCTTGAGTTGATCCTTTAGGTACTGTGGGATCATCCAGATAACCCAGTTTGGCATCTCCTTCACCCTCTGGATCCCCCACGTACTGACCCAGCACAACATCCGACATGGTTGGTGGAGCAATACACTTCAGCACCTTCACCTAACAAAGGTATAAGACCAGACACACCTCATTTAATACACAGAACACAAGTATTTGGTTTCTGCCAGGCGACTTTGTACCTTTTCATCCCTGACATCGTCAGAGCTGGTGGAAGCTGGTTTCTCCATGGCAACTAGGGAGAGCATCTGGAGCAAATGGTTCTGCATGACATCTCTGATTATGAATGAAAGAACAGGTGGTCACATTAAAGACGCAGAAAACTGTTACAAAATGAATTCAAATTATAACTGATCATGTGTTGGTTTTAATGTGCTCGTAAAACCGGTTAAATCTATTAACATTCTCCCTGCAGTGAGCTCTTAATGTACAAATTAAAAAAAACAAAACACAACTGCACTTTAACTCACTAGTGTGGTAACATTAGCAAAACTTGAATAGCTAATAAATATAAATGGTATATAGGTTGCCAATGAATTATATTTTCTTTGCACCGATGATAGCTCATAGCCAAAGACATGTTTGTCTTGCCCCAATATAAATATTAGGAAGTATTCTTACACATATTTACTCTCTGGTACTCCGCTTGTTTTTATATTCATCATTAGAGATAAGCGCATTGAATCTTTGTTTTAGATTTAGTTCAACGTATTTATTTCTTTTGGGTGCCCCCCACAACTGAATTATTGTTAACATTCAAGGTAATCTGCGTGGAATAAAAAAAAATAAAAATGAAAAATCAGCTAAATAAATCCAAAGTCTGTGGGTAACCTTGTTAAATAATTGTGATCACTTATTTTCTAAAATAAGTGTAACATTTGCCTTAAAGCAGCCCTCATATAATTCTGCTTATTCACAGTACTTTAAAAAGCATTAACTTTATGATTGAAGTATTTTTCTCCTCACCGGATGATGCCAAAATCATCAAAGTAGCCTCCTCGACCTTGGGTGCCAAAGGGTTCCTTAAAGGTGAGGACGACACAGGCCACGCTGTCCCTGTTCCAGATCGGCCCAAAGATTCTGTTTCCAAACCTGCAGCGAACACAGTGTATTCGTCCTCAGCTCAGCAGCACACACAGAGCAACAGCACAGCTGTTCATGACAACATGCATAAACATTTATCTTTGGTTTTGTTCTTGATTAGCCCCCACTTTCTATTCATGGTGCAAGATTTTCATA